AAAAAAAAAAAGATATTGTGTGGCTGGGATTGTGGCTCAGAGCTAGCATGCATGAGGCACTGGGTTCAATCCTCAGCACCACGTAGAGTAAAATAAAGACACCATGTCCGCCTATAACTAAAACATAAATATATATTTTTTAAAAAGATACTGTGTCCATCTACAACTAAAAAAAATTTTTAAAAACAGTCAGCAGGCGTGTGTGTGTGTGTGTGTGTGTGTGTGTGTGTGTGTGATTTTGAGGATCAAACACAGGACCTAGGCAAGCACTCTACAACCAAGCTACATTCCCCACTCCAAAAACCAAAAGTTATTAAAGAGTATGGATATAGATGTGCCATAATTGATTAACCAGCACTAGAGGTTGCTTTCAAATTTTCATTATTGTATATAATGCTGAGATGAACAACCTCATGTATACCTCTTTGTGCATTTGTTTAATTATTTCCTTAGGAATGGAAAGGGAGATTCAAAAGATATTTGTCATTTATTTATTTTGTTAACTGATAATTTTATTTAATTTTCAATAGTATGTGCACATTGCAGCATATCTAAAAAATTCTAATAATATATAACTTTCTTTCGTCAGAGATACCTATTATAACTTGTCTCTCATCTATCTTTCTAGAGCAATTCTATGTATAGACAACACACATGTAAGTGCACAGATAACAGTATGCTATCCCATCTGTTGTGCTTGCTTTTCCATGTGACAAATTTATTTTAGAGTTCATTCCTCATCATTATACAAAGGGTTGTCTCTTCCTTTATTATAAATTGGCATGCACTTTACAAATTTATATACATTGGCAAAAAAAATCATAAAATGTTTCATGCATAGTATTTGAGTTTCTAAAAGGTATAAACCATTTTGGCAGTTCCATACCCAGAAGACAAATTAGGTATGTATTATTCAGTTACCCACAGAAATGGTGAGGCAGGTAAATGAGGGAAACAGACACAATTCTGTGTAAACTGGAGGTAAATGGGGACATTCCATCTGTGGTATTCTGTTGGAGTTGAGCTTGCTTCCCAGAACAGATAGAGGTTCAATGTGGCCAATACCAGGGATGTATCCAGGGAAAGACAGGTTGCTCTATCCACTCATTAATAGGGGAGCAAATGACAGGGGCAGTCAGGTCTGAGACCTAACCCCTTCAGACTGATTTTTAAAATTTTATATATATAGCATTGCCCTTCTACTTATTGATAAGTGACTCTAGTGTGTGTTTTATACATAAAAAATTATATATATAATATACACACACATATGTATATATACATATGTGTGTATAAATATACATATATGGATAAAAATATATACATATATATATGTATATATATTAGTTGTGGATGGACACAATAGCTTTATTTTATTTATTTATTTTTGTGAGGTGCTGAGGATCGACCCCAGTGCCTCCCATATGCTAGGCAAGTGCTGTACCATTGAGCTTTAACCCCAGCCCTAGACTTTGATTTTACTTCTTACTTTTGAGGTGGTTAAAAGAGGTTAACCTTAGTTATTTAAAAAATTTTCCAGATATAAAATTCTGCAACTAAATTTTCGGCCTAAATTTCATTTCAAAAACAGAAGTTAGTTGGGCATGGTGGCGCCTGCCTATAACCCCAGCAAATCAGGAGGTTGAGGCAAGGGGATGACAAATCCTAGGCCAGCATAAGCAACTTAGTGATACCCTGTCTCAAAATAAAAGGTCTGGGGATGTAGCTCAATGATAAAGCATTCCTGGTTCAATTCCCAATACCCTCTGAGAGAGAGAGAGAGAGAGAGAGAGAGAGGGAGAAAGAGAGGCAGAGACAGAAATAGTTTCCTTCAGCCCTAAAACAAACAACACCAAAAGGATCAGTTTATAATGTAAGTTTTCTTTCTGCCATCAGGAACCACTCTTATATTGTCACCCTTGTGTTGCCCTACTTCTTACTGATAAGTGACTGTGGTGTGTGTTTTGCAAATGCTGTGCACTATGACTTTTTCCTTCAAGAATAGATCTGGCTAGTATGAAATTCTTTCTATTTATGTCTTAGGTTGTGCTCCAATAATATCAGATTTACAGAGCATGTGGGATTGTTTTGTAGCTCCCAGAGCATGGAGAAGAAAAGGCTGGACCATCTGGCCTCATTTGATCCTCCTGGCCCAACTCCCAGTGGGTGATATTACAGTTTCTTCTGCCTTCTCTGTATGTTCTCCTGCTGCCAATATTCTTTGCTTAGTCTTCGTAACCATGACCCATGTTCCCTGAAGGTATCATGTTAATCATACAGTAATTTGGAAATACCTGAGGATTTAACAACAAGGAAAATTTTCCACCATTTTCCTTAATGTCAGTTTGTAGCTTTTTCTTCTGCTGATGAGGTAAGTATTTGACTTTCAAACAGAAGGTACAATTTACAAAGATTCCCACAGTCATCCTGAAAGAAAAAAGTTTCAAGACATATATTTTAAGGAATCTCTTTTTAGTGAATATAACTGAAAATGCATTTAGAATCATTCTACATGTAAACTGAGAGAAAACTAGACATTTTTTAAAAGACACTGCAATCAAGTTATAAATACAAAAACTGAACATTGTTATTATGGTTTGGATCTTAGTGGTCCCCCAAAGGATCATGGGAGACATGATCCTTTAAAGACTTGGTCACCAGCCTGGTGTTGCTCTTGGGAAATGGTGGAATCTTTAGAAGATTGGATCAATGGAAGAAAGGTTATTAGAGAAGTGCCTTTGCTTTTGAAGGAGATATTGGGACACTCCCTCCCTTTGCCATAAAATGAATAGGCCTTCTTTGTCACATACTCTAGTCATAATGTATTGTGCCACCCCAGGCCAAGCAACTATGAATTGAAGCCTCTGAAACCACAAACCTTTCCTTCAAATTGATTTATCTCAGATATTTGTCACAATGACAGAAAACTGGCTAA